ATAATTTTTTCTATTAATGAAGGCATTAACACAACAGGTACACTTCAATTAAAATACTTGCATTCATAAAAAGTAATTGCTGTTTGATGTCAGCAGGGGGTTGTGGGGGTCTTATATTGATATTTATACCATGCCGTTAAAGCTTCACTTAAGAAAGAACTAATTTTTAGGTGCTGTATGGATTTCAGTTGAAAAAAAAGGAAATAAATCAGATCCAAAAGCTGGGTGCATCCTCAAAGACCGTGCACTAAACCAGTCATTGTTAAAATACAATTTTGGTACCCATGAGGCTTTAATGGTGAGTGCATGGGCAAATACATTGATAAGATTTAAACCCCCATTTTCAATAGAATTGTAAATTGTTTTCCTCCTTACTCTTTCAGGTCCTCCATTCCAGATAAAAGCAAAAATTTTCTGTTCATAACGTATAAAAAACTGTTTATCTGGCAATGGAAGGACCTGAAAAAGATAGGTGAACTGAGGAACAATAAGTGTATTAATAATTGTGACTTTACCAAATAGAGATAATTTTTTTCCTTTCCAAGGATACAAAATTCTATCTATTTTGGTTAAAACATGCTCAAAATTTACATTAACAATGGTATCTAATTTCTCAGGTATATGTAAGCCTAGTAATTTGATGTTCCCATCAATCCATTGAAAAGGGAGATGGGTGGGCAGTCTGAATTTTGTGTTTCTTAAGGATCCAATTCTAAGTATTTTACATTTTTCACTATGTAGGGAGAGGCCAGAATTTTTTGAAAAATCATCTAAATCTTTAAGAAGGGCATAAAAGGAGGTTAAATTAGGAGAAAAAGGAAAATTTGTATCGTCTGCATACTGTGAAATTTTAGTGGATCTTCCATTAATAACTAAACCGGTCAAGTTATGGTTATGACGTATCTTAATAGATAGCATTTCCACGGCAATAATAAAAAGATAAGGGCTCAAGGGACATCCCTGTCTTACACCTCGCTGTAAAATAAAGGGGCTAGAAATATGACCATTATTTAACACAGAACTAGTGACATTATTGTATAAAACATTAACCCAGGCAATGAACTGTGGACCAAAGTGGAAAAATTCTAAGGCTTTTATGATGAAGTCCCATCTAATTGTATCGAAGGCTTTTTGGTAGTCCGAAATAAAAATAAGTCCAGGTTTATCTTCATTTTCATAATGTTCAATCGTGTCAAGAATACGCCTAATGTTGTCCCCTATGAATCTCCCATGAATAAATCCAGTTTGGTCCTCATCAATTATTTCAGAAATAACAGTTTTTAATCTTAAAGCTAAACATTTGGACAATATTCTAGTGTCGCAGCAAAGTAAAGTAAGGGGCCTCCAATTGTCTAATAATGAGGGGTCTTTGTCTTTTCCATCACTACCCTGTTTTAACAATAATGAAATAATTCCTTGTTTCTGGGTGTTGGCTAAATAACCTTGTGCTAGAGAATAATTGAAACACTCCAGCATAGGGACTTTAAATACAGAATAAAAATGTTTGTACACATCAACAGGGATTCCATCTAAACCAGGGGATTTACCACTTGAAAAGGAGTTAATCGCATCAATCAATTCTTTCTCTGTGATAAGACCTTCACAACCCAGCTGCTGATCATGTGACAACGTTTTAGCATAATCCAAGGGGAAAAAATCTTGACAATTATCAGGGGTTAGGGGTAGTGGAGGGTCTTTGAAAGCATACAAGTTAGAATAAAATTCCTTTTGTTTTTTCAAAATTTCTTCAGGGTCACAAGTAAAGGTGTCATCTGAAATCTTTAATTTCTGTATATTCTTTCTGGTGTAATTTCTATGAGCCATATTTAAAAAATACTTTGTACATCTCTCTCCAGACTCCATCCACCTGGCTCTTGACCTTATCATTATTCCATTTAAACGTTGATTATAAAGTAAATCAAATTCTTTTTGTTTACTCTCTAAATCCTGGAGAATAGAATCTGGAGGGGAGGGCAAGCTATCAATTTGGATATTAAGTCTATTTATATCATCAGTTAGTTTTTTCTCTTTGCATAGGTACTGTTTTTTTTTCCAACTACAATATTTTATACAGTGTCCCCTGAAAAAACATTTAGCAGCTTCCCACACGACATGGGGGTTAGATGTATTTCTATTAATTTGAAAGAATTCATTCATAATTTCAATTGTTTTCTGATAAAAGCATTTGTCATCTAACAAAGATAGGTTAAATTTCCAATACCCCTTACCCCGAGGGAACTCTGCAGTCACAATGGACATACAAATCAACTTATGGTCAGATTTGAAACTGTCTAAAATTACACATTTGTTTATCTTATTCATTAAAGAAAAACTAACCAAGAAATAATCTATTCTACTAGCTTGACTACTTTAACCCTTTGCTATAGACTAAGGCATCATCTTTAGACTTCATTTTAGATTGTACAAAAACCATACATACAAACCCCCTTAACCCACCTCAATTCTCATTTGATAATAACTCTGATATTTGAAGGAATGACTATCTCTTGTTCTTTCCTGGGCTGATATTAGGTACTTAGTAGTTGGGATGTCCACCAGTTTATCAGTCATTTTGTGCATCATGCATAGTCTGGACATTTTTGGTCTGTCTTCTAGTGACATCCACTGTAGGTCTCTTTTCAACACAACAGTACTCACTAGCAGCGTGTAGTCTGCATGAAGTTGAGGCAGTGCCGAGTTTGTTGCTCACAGTGCAGGTGAACACTCCCACATCCTTGCCCAGCTGCACCTGTGGGATGTGCAGCGTGTGTTTCCCATCGTCTGCAGACGAGAGCTTAATCCGATCGCTCTCAATGATCAGTTCGTTGTTCTTGAACCTTCGGAAAAAGACATCAAACCCAACAATTACTTAGAGTCAGCATTTAGACTGTACACTTGTTAGATTACTCTTAATAATTTCTCATGTTCATGCTGCTTGCAAGGAGCTTTTGGACAAGGACTAAATTTGCAATAAACTCATTATGAGTTATAATTTCAAGAGTCAAGCATTTAGTTCTTCATTGTTTATTTTTGGCCCTTAGTGCTATTTACAATCATGGAGGTAGAAAATTTGCATGTGTCTTGAATATTAGTACAAGAATTTGCAACAAACGCATTATCATAATATCTCATTTTGATCATCATGAGGACAATACCAGTATCTGATGATGCATGTTAAGCCATTGAGCAATTTCTTAATCATCTTCACCAGGCCTCGAAATTAACTTTTTTTACTATCGTCCCAGAATTGTCCCGAACATAGATTTCAATTGTCCCGAACTGAAGATGGACTGTCCCAGCCTGCTTTTCAGGAAAAAATGTATGACAACAATAAGAAAACAACAACAACTGAATTTGTATAACTTGAAGTCCACTTTATTAGTAAATGTTGGGAAATACATTATAATATCATGGGCACGGCACCATCTTTGAGGCCCCCCTCCCCGATATTTGGAATCCCTGATTGGTCAAATTTAAATGTTTCTCAGAGTATTATGGGCTGACTGCGGCCCACAGCAGGATGGATGGATTTCGTTCCTAAATGACGTGGACGGTCTCAGAATTTTCCAGTTGCCCCGAAATTGTCCCGAAATGTAATTTGAATTGTCCCGAGCTGAAAATTTAGTGTCATTTGACACTGGGACAATGTTAATTTCGAGCCCTGATCTTCACTCACCATTGTACAGTAGGCTGTGGGCTGCCTGCAGGCAGGCATGTCAGGATCACAGGGCAGGCTTCAGCGATCGCCTCGTCTTTTAACTTCTCTCTGAACACAGGAGCAAACTCTGGAGGGGAGGAGGGATGCTTGTGCTTGGTTCATGATGAAATATCAAGTTATCCAGGACACAACACAAATACTTAACTTACTGTACAATAATTGATCAAGCTCCTGCTCAAATACTTGCAAAATGAAATGAAAAAACATGTATGAAGTGAACATATGCCATCCTGCATATTCATCCCCCCCTGCAAGAACAAAAAGACTTTACAAATCCTTTAAACTGCACAACCAGACAACAGAACCCTGTATACATAAGAAGTGATTGGAAACTGCTATATCAGTATTGTACGATTTGTACATGTTTTGTATTCCTTGATTTGTAAATACAAACGGCATTCAGGCTTATGTCTGCTATGTTGATATGTGAATAAAGAACTGAATTGAAAACGTTACCCTCCACGCCTGATCCCCGCATGGGGATGCTGGTTGGAGACAGCAGCTTGGGCCGGTCAAACGATCGTCCTCGCCACATGCCCGGGCGCAGTGAGCTGTCCAGTGACTCTCCTCGTACAGGCCGCCTCACGGTCGCACTGTCCACAGACAGACCTCTAAACAACAACAACAAAAACAACAACATCATTCATGAAGTAAACATCTTTGGTCGGTCGAACGATCGTCCCTGCCACATGCCCGGCCGCAGAGAACTGTCCAGTGACTCTCCCCGTATCGGCCGCCTCAGAGTCGCGCTGTCCACTGATAGACCCCTAAACAACAAAAACATTTGTGGAGTTTTCTTCATAAAACTGGCATCATACAGTAATGATCTTTGGCCCTATTTGTTGATCGTTAGAATGTTGCTAAATCTAAAAACTGTCGGAGTCCATAATTGGACTCAGTGTGAATAAAAGATCGGCTTAGGGATTGAGAGAACACTTCAACTTTCAACTTTATTTGTTCAACCAGGTATCACACTCAGGCCACTCTGGCCTGTTTTTCAGGAAATCTTGGTACAAAAGCACAGACAAACACCTAACAGTTAAACAGATTCACAATACATCCAAAAGTCTAAGAATAGCACATAGATAAAACTAATCTTAAATACAATTCGATAAAAACTGTTTAAAAGTTCTGAGACTAGGCTGCTGTCGTTGTTGTAGGGGGAGTGAGTTCCAGAGATAAGGTCCATAGTACTGTAAGCTGTTCCTGTATGAAGTGACTCTAGCTGGGGGACAGGAGAGTAGGTGGGGGTCATAGTCCCGTAGCCGTTTTAACTCTGACCGAGTAGTGCGTACACTCAGTGTAGGTGGAGCTTCCCATTTGAACAACGATGTCTACTCTAGTCATGAAACACTCTGACAATATTACTGCTGAAAATGTCTGTTCACACTGGTTCTACTTTGCACTGAAGCTACATTGTTGTACATGTATGTGGTGTAGTGTTGTACACTGTTGTAGTGCAAGGAATGCAGACCTAAATGTGACTAATGTTGTCTCATCACCCTCACTACGTGGTTCATGACTAGAGTAGACATCTTCTTTGATCCAACCTGATGAAACTTTAATAGTAAGTTTGCTGGCTCTTACCTGGTTAGCAAGGTGACCCCTCCCCTGGAGATGTCCTCACTTGAACTCCTCCTGAGCGCCCGGCCGTCAGGTGTTCGGCTGTCAGGTGTGGCGTCCCCGTCCTGGTGAGACGGTGTGAGCCGGAGAGACGTCTGTCTCGCTGTGATGGAGTCTTCCTCGGGCATACGCACTGATGAAGACTGCTTCCTGTTCGTTAAAGAGGTTCATCAGTCTCGTATATTTCAATAACTAACAGCTTCCTGTTCATATTGACATGTTTATTGTAATACTGTTTCTTTATTTTAGGTCACACCAATTTGATGTGTGTGGTTCTTGGATTTAAAAGATTTTTAATAGAAAGTTTATTGCAAATTCATGCCCGAAGGCTAACTGCATGAACAGAATAAACATTTGTATAAAAACAGATAATTAAGTACACATAGAACTACTGATAACTATTAAGAAACTACTAGTAGAAAACTACTGGGTTTGACTTCTTTTAATAAGTTAATATGCTTCACTGTAAAAGACTGGCAAAAAAATGAAATCAAACCCTGAGGACCAGGTTTATGTCTTAGTGCATTCAGTTTATGGACTGAATAAAGTGACATAGTCAAGCTTTACAGTGACATAGCTTTACAGTGACATAGTCAAGCTTTTCTCAGAGCTTTTATGATGTCTGTTTGCTATATTTTCACCTTAAAATTTTCAAAAACCAAGGAAATGATTGGTGTGGCCTTATTTTAAACAAAAACCCTCTACTGTAAACACAAATAAAACATTACATTTAAAGATAACAATACACTTAAACAATAAAAAGTACATATTAATGGATGACAAAAAACAACAAGGAGAAGGTCAGTGTACATCAATTATTACAAAGTCCTGCCAGTAACACTGTTAAATGTTTCCCCCATGCGCACCTGAGTTCGAGTCGCCTGGAGATGTTGGCATCAGCTGAGACTTACCGGGTTGATGAAGAGACAGTGTGCATCTTGAAAGCTCCCCATGCAAAGTAGCTAATTTTTGTCGTGTGTATTGTTTAAAAACATTCCTCAAAAGAAGAAAAGTCATCACTACGTTGATGAAGGTTAGACATCCAGGTAAACGATACTCGTTAGAAAATTCAAACTCTACTACTGGATCAGTTACGGATTTTTATTTATTTCCGGACGTTTCGAGTGACATCCATCACTCTTCTTCAGCGTCACAAATGAACAGAGAACCGATTCACTTTTATATACAAGTAACTAGAAAAACCGGTAAACAACAAGGTCCGTAAGAAGCTTTATCACGTAAAAGAACGGTTCACTCAATATACAGGTAATAAGAACTAGAGAGGAGGAGGGTCATCACTATACATCAAAACCTGTAACACAGTTAAATTTTTGCCCCCACACCTGAGTTCGAGTGGCCTGGAGATGTCGGCGTCAGCGGAGACTGCTCTTCTCAGCTTCCCGGGCCGTCTGACCCCCCGGCCGCGGTCGTCCCTGGCAACCTCTCCTGCAACAACAAAGACAGAGTGACAATTTGTTATAGCAGTGGCCTAACGGTAGAATTGTTGGGCTCGGAACCAAGAGGTCCCGGGTTCGAATCCAGCCATGTCATCGATCTTGTCCCTTGGGAAAGGCATTTTACATGACTTTCCTCACTTCACTCAGCTTTGGCTAGATTTCCCTCAGATAGCACGTAAAGCTGGAGGTCTCGTGCTTGACAGAGCCACACCTTGAGCATGTTAAAGATCCCACCACCCTTATCGAAAGATCCCGGTGTGAGTGTTTCAAACCTTACAGTCTGGTCTCAGGTTTAACATCTTGAAGAGGTAATAGTCACCTGTTTATGTCAATCCTTCCACAAATGTGGTAATAAATCTTAATGAAAGAAGAAAAATAATAGATGAACTTTATTGACACAACAAAAAGTACAGCGACTTTCGTAAGGTCTAAGAATGAAATAACACATTTTTTCTCAATACTATATCTGTTTATCCCCCATTTCATCTCAGAACGAACAGCTTAGATTTCTTTGGTCTCACCTCGTGGTTTCTCATCGTCTGAAGACGTGGTGAGTGCAGCCTCGGCGCTCCCAGACTTCTTTAGTCGTCTCCGCCGCTCCTCGGTGTCCCGACTGTCTCCGATCCGCAGCCTCTCCTCCGCAGACTTCCCCCGCTTCAGTCTGGGTCGCTCTGACGTGTCCAGGTCACGCATTCCTCCACTGGGGAAAATCACACAGTCGGCAAAAATAGAAATGCATCAAGATTAGTGCTGTGTTCCTTAACTCATGTTTAGGTTCAGGTTTCGATTCAAGTCCAGTGGCTTAGGTTCGTAACTCTGGACTTGAACCAGTAAACATTTTTACAAGACCCCAGAACAGGTTCACCAAACTCTTTAGGTTCTTTGAAGGTTAGATTCGTTTTTCTCAACTGTGACATGTTTTGAGAAAACGTGAAAGAAATCACAGGTTTGGCAGAAACAAAACCGTGCACAGAACCCAGGGAAGACACCCTTGCGCAG